TGAAAACAGGATGACATGAAGCTCACGTTGTGGGGTACAAATCAAAACGTGTCCGTGAGTGAAACAGCCTGCAGAGACATAGAGAGGATCTCAGCTGACTTACCTCGTTTTTTTTTTTTGTTTTTCCTCCCTTTTTCATCTCTTTTCTTGTCTCCAGCCTGATGTGAAGGCAGCCTGCTGTGTGTTTGGCTGTGGCTGTCTGAACGGCACTCTGAGAGCCAGTGCATGGTGTGTGTGTGTGTGTGTGTGTGTGTGTGTGTGTGTGTGTGTGGGGCTGAATCCGTCTTACTGCTCTCAGCAGCTCCGTAGTCCTCTTGTGATGAATCTGTTGAACAATGTGTCCAGATCTCATTCACTTCGAAGCGTTACAACGTCTTTACAACAGAACCACAAAACACCATTTTATTTCTCTTATGAATGTTTGTGAACTTAAAGAGTCGTAGATATTTTCAGAGTTTTAAACATTGCAATGAAATCTAAACGTGACTGTCACAAAAAATCAAAACGAAATGAATTTGTTATTCAGGTTTATTTTAAAATGTCAGTTTAATTGCTTTCACTTCCCGCCCGCTGATGTTTAAAACCAATAATCCTTTCAGTTCCGACACTTTTACAGCCGTGTTGCATTTATGAAAGGCGATGACTGATCACCAGCGTTGTTCACTTGAAGTCAAATTAAAGTCAAGGCAGTTGGATATATGACGATACTCTTAAATAGCACCCACCATTCAGGCTTGGTTATGAGCAGAGCCCTGATGCAACCACGCACGCTTACATGTTTATTAAAATATAACTTTACATTTTTGTTTCGTTTTAAGCTTTTTGCTCTGTGAAATCTACTTCAGCGTTGCAGATTTGTTGATTTGTTTGTTTGTTTTATTGTCTTTTTCCTCTTTATCCTTCATTTCATCTCAATATACAGTAATCCCTCGTTTATCGTGGGGGATCTGTACCCTGAAGCCCCGCGATAAGTAACAAACCGCGAAGTACGAATAGTTGTACAAGTAGTAAGTAGTAGTTTATTTTAGTATATATATATATATATATGTGTGTGTGTGTGTGTATGTGTTTGTGTGTGTGTATATATAAAGGTGTTTTAAACCCTTCCCACACTCTTGAAATATTCTAAACAATGTTTCTAAACTCTCTAAAAGAGCACAGAATGTCATGATTTCAGCTCTCTGCCTCCTCTGCTCTCAGCCGCCTGCTAGCGCTCTCGGCCACGCCCACTTCTCCGCTCTGCATGCAGATCAGCTGATCAGCTGCAGCAGGAAGTTTATCCTAAAGTAAGAGCTGAACAAAGGTGCAGGAGGAAGCTTTTTCTGCAGCTCTGGGCTGCACAAATGTGCAGCAGGTGCTAAATAATTTAAATTTATTTATTTTTAATAAAAATCCCATGCCGATCGTGCGGCTCATCCATCAATCAGCCAATTGCGTGTCATGTCCAATCTTGTTTTAAAAAACCGCGATAGAGCGGCTCCACGATAAACGAACCGTGAAGTAGCAAGAGACTACTGTATGTCCTTTTTTTGTTGCTCCTGTCTTTAGGTGTCATTACTGTTAAAAAAAAAAAGTTTTTGTCTTTCAGTGTCTCCTCATGTGTCATATTATCTGTTTCTTTAGCATAATTTGTCTGTTCATGTCTTTATATGCTTTATCTATATTTATTTTCTCTTCTTTATTTATTTTTGTTACTTAATATGTTATTTTAACATATAGACATTGAATGGTCAGCTATTCAAACTACTTTGACTTTGTTCAGCAAATTTCAGTAAAGTCATTCAGCACTCAGCAGTCACTTTGACTATTTCACAAAACAGTTTATTTTTAATTTATTTCTCATTTTAAATAAAAAATCACAGATTCTAGTGGATCTATGCTGATTTATATGGCTTTTAAAACAAATTCACTATGTGTTGGTGTAAGTTTTTCCTTTTTTGTTTCCTTTTGGACAATGTTCATAATATTTAAATCATCTGCTCCTTCGCTTGCTGCATATTTTATGTATTTTTGGTGTTTTTCAAACCTGAGTCACTGTAATCCTAAAGTGCTTTTCCTCCCTGCTCTTTGTGTTTCGTTTGCGCTGCAGTACACCTCGTCACTGACCTACGATGGTGTTCTTGTAATGGCTGAAGCCTTCCGAACTCTTCGCCGACAGAAAATTGACATCAGTCGTCGTGGCAACGCGGGGGACTGCCTTGCCAATCCAGCAGCCCCCTGGAACCAAGGAATAGACATGGAGCGGGCACTCAAACAGGTCAGCACAAGCCTGTCGTTGTGTTTGCGCTGTAAGGGAAGGTTCACACAAATGTTCACAACGATGCACAAACTTACACAAAAAGCATCTCCTTCTTTATTGCTGTGTGTTTAAAAGGTTACAGCCAAAAAAAATTCACTTGTGTATTTTGCACTAAACCTCAGCTCTTGTGCACACGTTTCTAACCACCTTTTACACATATTATCGTCTGCTTTCCTTCCAACTGGTTTGTTTGTGCAGTCCAGTTAATTTGTTCATATTTGAGGCATCCTTTCACTCTCTGAAGCCGCCCTCCAGCTGCCCTTGATGGGATGAAAGACACTGGGAAGCTTGGGAGACACTCAGCACACATTACAGAAAGGGGAACGATGATGTGACACTTCATGTGATGCATTTATTGCTCATTACTCTTTTTAAAAGGCTGATCTGCAGCAGTATCCAGCTGCTGGCTTAGAGCACAGCTGCAGCTGCTCTTCCTGGCTGTGCAGATGAAGCTGGAGCTCAGTGGGGATATTTTTGGTTCGAACTTTGGCTGCAGGGCTTCAATTTATGTTGTCCAGTTATTAGCATTAAAACCTGCTGTGCTTTTGTGTTAGATGTGCCATAAATACAACACAGAGGTTCATAAAATGGGCAGATTTGATGCAAAGCACATAGTAATTGGGGTTCAAGCTATAATTAACAGATTATATGTTAATATGAACTAAAGCGCAGCCGTGGCCACTAAAGTCACCATGATAATTATTTTTTTCTCTAACTTCAGCTATAATACCAGTTTCAGTTTGTTTCAGTCGTAAGTCAGAGAACTGGTATATTTTATTTTATTTTTTTTACAAATGTAACTGTGAAGACTTCATCCATTGCACCAACAGTTGACTTTACACTGACAAACAACCATCTTCTATAATCCAAGACAGTGTATGGTAAAGTTATATACCAGAGACATTTTCTAGCTACAACATATTTGAGGTTTATGTAGGATTCAGTTTCTGGCACAAAAATACTTTATCATGAATATTAAGAATGTGACGGTGCAACGTTCATAAACACTTGATTCATTTTACGGTTCAGTTTCCCATCTTGTTAAGACTTTTTGCAAAGTAAATGTGCACCACAAAGATTCTGAGTGGAATCTCCTCTTCTGCTTCTGTTTACACGAAACTTTATTTCCTTTTAGTGAATACTCTCTTTAAAAATACACATTTTTAAACGTCCTTCCCACACTTTATTCAACATGGAAAACAAAAGCAAATCAATGGATCATTTTGTGCATTTACTATGTATTTTATGTATGAAAGTCGTGACATTGGTTTTTCCCTAAAGATAATGAGTTTACACGTATACAGGGTTGTTGTTGTTTTATAAGCATTACTATTAATTCTCCTCTATGTTTACAATTACTGTCGCTCTAAATGCAGGTTCGCATTCAGGGCCTCACAGGCAATATCCAGTTTGATCACTTTGGTCGAAGAATTAATTATACTATGGACGTGTTTGAGCTGAAGAGCAATGGACCACGCAAGGTAGGCTCTCCTCATAGATTAAAGAATAGAAAAGCAAAATATATGTATTCTTTGCTTCATTGCTTCATGCTAAGTTCTCCATCCAGCAGACGTCATTGGTTAGACATTTCATTGTAATTACAATAAAAGTAAACATGAAAAATAGATGTTTTTGGAGCATTTAATATCTTACCTGCTGTAGATAGCTCTTTGAAAAACTTCAATTGCGAGAAATAATGTCAGGTTCAAAGAACTTATTAAAGGTCTTTGTGGAACAATATCTTGCATGAAGCATCTATAATGAAGAAATAATGCCACATTCAAGCAAGTCAGTTGTTCCTTCAGCACCAATGTCTGTTTATTGAAGGTTCTCTTCAATAGTTCCTGTGGGAAATATGGAGGAGTGAGCTCATTCTTTGACTTATTCTTTTTTACTTCATACGTTTTAATCTCCATTCATATGTATTTGTTTGTTTGTTTGTTTGCTTTTTTTACATTTTGTTTTGATGTTCTTTCCTCTTGCTTGTTTTGTGTCTTCGCCCTGATTTCTACTTTTGCATGACTCCTGCATTAACGTTTTTTCGAATAATGTCTTCTTGCGTGAGCTCATTCCATTTCCTGTTGTGTTCATTGCCTCAGATTGGCTACTGGAACGACATCGACAAGCTTGTGTTGAATGAAAACCCTCTGACCAACGACAGCTCAGCGATGGAGAATCGGACCGTTATTGTGACGACAATCATGGTAACGTACCCTGTAACTGACTCATGTTTTGTATAGTTTTGGTAGCTTTTGATAATTTGCTGAAGCTGTTCTACAATACTAACAAGCCATTCTTCAAGTTCCTCAACATTTTTGCTTTCACTGAATCCAGTGTAAATTTTGTTCATGTTAGATCATGAAGACAATAAATGATTCAGGCTCAAATGATACATCGAAACATATACCCCTCCTGGTTACTTTTTTGCTCTTAGCAAGATCAGGAGCACTAAACCGAATTGATTGAAAACCCAGGATGCTTGATTCACTAAAGCCCTATGATCACAGGATTAGTTTTACCTAGCAACCACATGTATTAAATAAATTACTCCCCAACATCTGCTTTTATGTGGCGCGTTCATATGGGATAACCAATGCCTGAGATTTAGCTGAAAGTTTCGGAAATCTTCCGGATATGATGTTAACGCACTGCGTATTGCGTAACATTCGCTTGTGTGTTCATGTGTTGTTCGTGTGTTGCTTGTGTGTTCCGTTATGGGTTGATAAGCTTTTGCTGATCCAGGACACAACAGGTTATTTATGCACTCCAATGCAGCCTCCATTGCCAAAAGCAAATAAAAATGCACCCAGGAAACAAAAAAAATGCCTCATTACGTATCGAATCCCGCCCATTTCTGTCCAAATCACAGAGACGCCTTTTCACATTGGATTAGTATTATCACAGGACCTCGGAGTTCAGCAAAATATAGTAGGTAATTTGTGGAGGAATTTTTACTTTACAAATTACTGACGTGGCCGATTCGCACGAGATCAACAACACAGATAATCTCCGTAATTATTACAAATAGCACGTGGTCCCAGGTAAAACTAATCCCGTGTGAATAGGGTTCAAGTCTGTGCTACGTTTGCCTTTAGCTTCAAATGTTGCGCATCATTTGCCCCGTTATCTGCTACATCTCTGCATCTGATTCACAAAATCAGTAGTGCTGATACGTTGGCACTAGCACCGACATGAAGTTTAGCAAGTATGAGCAATTTAAACTGTTTTGTAGATTATCGTTGCCCTCACAGCACAAGAAACTAACCTTCCCAAGCTGATCCCGCAGGTGTTCAATGGGGGTGAGGTCGGGACTGCAGGCAGGTCATTCCATCCTTTCCACTTCCAAATTCTTGAGGCATTCTCTCTGACAAACCTCTCTCTGTGGGGGTGAGCGTTGTCATCTTGGAAGATAGAGCTCAGTACCCGACTGTGGAGATGTGGGACTGTCATTTTTTACTCACAGTGCTGACAATCAAGTACCAGTCAGGCACCTGATTGACCTGACTGTCAACATCTGGGGTGCCAGAAGCTCAAAACAAGAGCTGATAGTAAAATAAGCTGTTGTAAAATGACAGTGAAGTTTTGGCAAGTTATAGATCACTGCAGCCCTCATCCTCTGAGCTCTACTGCTCAACCTAGAAATGCATTTTTCTTACAAATATGGCACTATTAAAAGGGATAAAACACGCTTCTGTGCAGAGTTAGATTCATTGGCAAGAAGTATTGTTGCAGCAAAGAAATAATCCACCCGAACACAAATGTCCTTACTTTGGTGCAAAGCTTGTATTTTACAAACAAATTATTTTATACTTGTACTAACGTACATATTTTGACCTTGAACCAGAGTTGAAGTCGACCTCTTTTTGTGCTTTTGAGAATACATGCATGTCAGAAGGCCTAGTGAGAACGTACAGTGGGAAAGTTGTATTGAGTCTCATTAACAGTGTGGAAAAATCCGATTGGAGATGATTAGCTGCAGAGAGCTCCCACAGCACAGCCAGGAGGGGGTGGCACTTGTCCATTTGGAAGATTAAACTAATGTCTCATTAGCAGACAAATTTAAAACTGACCTCAAATCACCATTTAGAAATGACCTCAGTCCAGCCGTTTTTAATGATTTCTGCGTAGACACCACTCTTCTATGCAGTTTAATTATCCCCCCCCCTTCCTTCTCACAACACGAATAATCGAGGACTCTCCGGTGGATGTGTGCACATCCTCTGCTTTCCATTTGATGTCACTTTACCCATCTGCAGCCTCTTTTTATGGTAGCCATTTTCTTCCTGTAAATCCAATCAGTTTAATTCAATTAGGCGTGCAAAATGATGCAAGTGAAGGCAACTCGAAAGACTAATCTTGGCGTAAAGATAAAACGAGCTACAAATACTCGAGCTGTGGATATTTGGTATTTTTGTTTCAATGGGGCATCACCCCATCCATACAACTGATAAGGGTTACTAGCATGTCCATGGCTGCAGGTTCTGCAGTGCTATAAATGGAATCAGTTCAAAGATGGTGATTTGATCATACACTACGCTGCCTCTTGTGGTTGGAGACAGCGATAATCAGTCACAGAAGACAAAGGCAAACACACCAACATATTTAGGGCAAAATTTAACTCTGTAAAAATCCATCCATCCATTATCTTTTACCCACTTCTTCCATTTTGGGTTGCCGGTGCCCATGTCCGGCAATCACTATGCGAGGGGCGGGGAACACCCTGGACAGGTCGCAAGTCCATCACAGGAACACATAGAGACAAACGAGACAAACAACCATTCACTCTCCCACTCACACCTAGGGACAATTTAGCGTTACCAATCAGCCTAACATGCATGTTTTTGGTCTGTGGGAGGAAACCGGAGTACCCGGAGAAAACCCACGCATGCACAGACAGAACATGCAAACTCCACCCAGAAAGGCCTCCAGACCGGGATTTGAACCAGGGACCTGCTCGCTGAGAGGCAGCAGCTCTACCAGTTGCGCCACCGTGCTGCCCCTTTGTAAAAATGTATATCTTTTTTAGGTGCGTGTTGTGTTAGTATGGCTTTACTGTTAAAAAAACTTAATGCTGCTGATGTTCATATGGTTGTATTTGTGCATTAAATTATAAGATGAGTCACAGTCCTGTTTACAGAGTTTGTTCCCTTCTGTGCTGCTGCCCAACCCCCACCCCCTCATGTCTGCTCGTGTACTGACCTTTTCCAAACTTCCGTCCCCCCTTCCATTTCGGTCGTCTCCGTCCTGTTTCTTTTTTAACTCATCTCTGCCAGCTCCTACATCCCTTGTTTCCACTTCCATGCACCTTCACTCCCCACATGTTTCTCTGTGGATGACCTCAGCAGGCCTTGACTAACATTAGCTCAGCCACCTCCTCCTCTTTGCAGCCTCTGATGATGAGGAAGCCTCTGCTGCGACACTGATCTCGAGACAGAGCAGGAGACTGAAAACACAGAACCTCGGGAAAGGCACAACACCCAGACTGATCCCGACGGTGTACAGAGACTCTTTACCTCTTTATTCCCCTTCTTGTGTTCCTTTCTTAAATTGACTTTTTGTTTTGATTTTACTGAAACTGTTTTATTTGTAGTGATGAAAAAGAAATTCATGGTCAGCATGTTAGAGTCAGAAGCATCGGGTTGCCTTGCTTTCTACACTGCCTCAGTAGAAAAGCCTCAGCTGGATGAGAGCTCTCCGAGGATTTCTCTGCTCTCTGTTAACGTTTTACAATTGGCTGCACAACTTCATGTAGAAACTAAATATTACAGAATTTTCCTGCTTTTTAAAGGACACCAACTCAACTCTGTGCTCCTGGTTTTATCACAAAGTAAAATCAGGAGCAGATGCATTTGTTTCTTTGATTATTGTTAATATTCTGCCTCTAAGTAAATGGGAGGTGAGTTTACGGGACTTGTTTTGCGTCCTGCAGTTTGCCTTCTTCACCTTTGGATTCCACACTCCTTCCATCTTCATTTTTCTGCTCTGTCACTCTGGAAATCTACTCAGTCATGCCTGCTCGGTCAACTTTCCTCTCCTGTTTTTGAGTTCTCAGAGGGTTTCTGAACCACTGCACCAAGCAAGTGTAGAGAAATGATAATACTGAGAGGGTCATTTGTCTGAGTCTAAATAAACTTACTGACATCGGAAAAATGCTACTATTTAAATCTTAGCTATTATTTGCCATGCTTTTAGGATTGGTTTGTGATTGATGAAACTAGAATTTGTCATATGAAATTTTAAGATATGTTTATACTTGCATTTAGAAGTACTCATTGCAAACTATGAAATCAAATATAAATAGTCATCCTGAGTTGTATCAAATGTTGCAGTCTGAAAGAGTTTACTCCAGTAATCCAACTAAGTTCAGTCAGGTTCTCTG